TATCATGCGTGGGTTTTAGGTGCTACAGTTCCATGAGGCTGCCACACAGTACGGCAGATTTCGTAGATTGGACAGAATTGCGATTGCTTGGCCAACATATTTATGTTCTATCGTTGCCAAGTTTGACCTATAACATATGGGAGATTTCAGAATTTCCACGTTTACTGCATCTCCTCTGCTATCAACGCAAGCTTTTTTTAACTATGAGTGTAGGCCTATGACACGTTTGATCGACTGGCTGTAGATGTACGTAGTTTGGGATCAGTATTTTGATTGCACTAAACAACACACCAGCACAAAACGCACAGCCTCTCTCTCTCTCTCTCTCTACTCTCTCTCTACTCTCACGCAGCGCACACACACGCCCCGCCACGCTGCTGCCTGAACATACCGGACGCACGCCACGCACAGCACACACAGAACAGCACCACCACACAACACCACACCCAGCAGCAAGACAGCACCAAGCACATCACGTCACAGCTCTCTCTCTCACACACGTACACCCGCGTGCGCGCGTCGGCGTGCGCACACACATAACCTCTCTGCTTTCTCCTCGCCGTTCTCTATTTCTCTCATCTCTTACTCTCGTCTCTCTCTCTCCGCTTCCTGCACGCGCTCTACTCCGTCTCTTACGCTCTCTTCCCTCTCTCTCTCTCTCTCTCTTCTTCTTACTCTTCTATCTCTCTCCCTCATCTTTCCCTCCCTTCCCTCCTCTCTCTCTCTCTCTCTCTCCTCCGTGGCTCTCTCTCTCTGTCTGTCACCATACCAACCACAACACGACACCCCCTCTCTCTCTCACACGACACACACCACCCCGCACTCACGACACGCCGCACGCACGCACGACACGGCACGCACCTCTCTCTCTCTCTCTCTCTCTCATCTCTCTCTCTCTCTCTCATCTCTCTCTCTCTCTTCTCTCTCTCTCTCTCTCTCTCTCTCTGCTTCTCATCGCTCTCTCTCTCTCTCTCTCTTCTTCTCTGCTCGTCTCTCTCTCTCTCGCTCTCTTTCATCCATTCCTCTCTCTTCTCTCTTGACACATACAGCACTTCCCTACGCAAAGGGTTTCGTTACGTAAATTTTGCTCGTTGACTGAATCGCACTAAAAGACCTGTGGCTGGATAGACCTGTTAGACTCACGCTCGTAAATATTCGCTGACGAAATTTACTAATAACTGCGTTGATAAATCGCCAAACTTATGGAGACACGTCGAATTTGCACGTACCCACACACGCTCTTACGCAAGAAATAAACTTTATTGCGTACGCAGCTTGATAATCATTTATCTACCCCTGGACACCCACCCCAGTCCAACGCCTGCAAGCGCACACCCGGCTATCAGAGTAATCTTTACCGTTTCCGGCGTGCGTTGATCAGTTTTCTTGGTCTTGGTCTAGTTTGTCGGGTCCCCCTTTTCTTTGCGCATAAAACTCATCTGAGGGGTGCTATAATCCTGGAGGAGAGCCCCCCCAGAACCCCCCTTCGCGTGCTCCTAACACCCCCCCCCTTTCTAAAATCCTGCGTACGCCACTGCATCAACTCATAGGTAGGACATCATTAGTAGGTCTACAGAGAAAATTAAAAACTTGAAATATATAAAATAATTATATATTTTCATGGGTCACCTCTGCTTTCTGGGACTTTATATCTAAGTAGATGGTTGATATTTATTTATGAATATTGAATAGTTTCTGTAAGACGAACTTGTTTATTCTTAGTTGAAGCCTGCAAGCTCAAGGTCTGTGTTAGTTTTGTGTATAAATTTTATATAGTTCCTTTTATTCTTTTAGTTTAGTTTGCACTTTAGTTCTTAAGTCTTTTTAATTAATAAATAGTTGATGTATTCGTTATGTAATAACCTAGCAGCTTGGGTTTTTAAAGGCAAAACTGTTGTCAGCAACATGAAGATAAACTAAAGATAAAAGCTAGTCGAGTTATTTTTGAACTATTACCAGGTTGAAGAAAATGGAAATTTCTGTACGCCTTGAAAAAGATTCACTATTTCATATTCTTTATTCCTATTACATGTATTCATATTGATGCAAATTATATACTTCACTATAGTTGACATGTACATAGACATGTACTGAAAAGGTGTTATTTCCGTTTTTCTTCCATTTGAAATTTTGAAATTTTCACCTTCGATGTGCACCAGATCGCTCCATTTTAGTGCAAAAATTGCAAAAGCTCCCTGCTGTCGGAGGGGGGAAACCCCCCTCCCACACCCTCCCCTGCTCGGTCGCTTCGCTCCTTCAATTGGGCCCCCCTACTTTTAAAAACGCGGCGCCGCCCCTGCATCAGCATTACTAGTCGACAAATTTATTATTTACAAAGGGAATTATTTCACGTCATCCATTATCAATATGATCGATTCACATCCGGTGTATAGAATATTATTTACCCTAATGATAAGGTGATAAAATTTCTTTCTTTTTTTAAATTGCGCTGTAGTTTTACAGTTTGCTTTTGCAATATAAGCATAGTCAACAGATGTATACTGCCCTGGTAGTAAATTGTTAGTCTCAAAGATAGTGGACATAATTTGCCGAGTCATAGTCGAAGTTCTGCATAAATCTGTGTACGGTAATTTTGGAGTGTTGGACGTGTCGTTGTTGAGATATAAGTTCGAAAACCGAAAATATATCAGACAGTACGGTAACGGCTAAGTGAACTATTACTTGCAAACGAGGCCGCAAATGGTGGCCGGCGTATGTGCGTGTGGAAGTTCTATATACAGATCGACGTCCACAACGACAACCATCGACGACGACCGTGAATGCAAGAGAACATATTTCGCACGATCGTGATTAGAGACCAAGACAGAAACCCACGAAACTAACACCGCTGCTCAGCTTTGGAAACGACGGCTGAATTTGGAAAGCGAAATGTAGAACCAATGGTGTTCCTATATAACGAAGAGGAACTAACACCGTAACCAGACGGTGCCTGCCCCGTAAGAGCGATCGACAGTAATTATTTTTCTGTTGGATCGTTTCGGTGTTTGATGTATCTCAGTCTAGCTACACGTAGGCCCCTATATACATTTACCCAGATATCTTTATCATCCTCCAGCCAACAAACCGTTATATTAATATCAATGTTAGACAGCTTTATCGAATTCAAGCGACTCAACATGAAAAACGTTCATGATAATAAATGTTCCTCTTACCAACGCACCATACATCAATATTTCTTTTGTACGAAAGCAGCTCCCATCAAGATTCTAGTCTTACATCCCCACATACGAACACGCGCACACGGGGACGCACACACATAAAACCAACAGACGATACACTAAAAACGTTGTTTAGAGTGGTTTTTTTTTCAACGCAAATTTTCACATGTAAAGTTCTAGTTCAACTTTTAAAAGTAGAAAAAATTATTTGTAAACTCGAGTTGTTAATACTTAAAACTACAGTCCTTGCATACAATATCACCTCGCATATCTCGCCTTGTATCTGTCACATACATTATGACAAGGCGCTCAGTGCTAGCTGCTACATATAAAGAAACTTCTTCCTTGACATTACCATATACCCTATAAATCTAAAAACAACGCCATAAAGCCTACTAAATTCATACGGCAGTGATTTTTAACAACTAACATCTTGCTGCCAAGTTTGTGAGATAGACGGCATCAGTATACCTATATCCTAGCGACAATAATCTCATCAGCTGTTAATAAAACCCCTAAAACACCTAGGGCCTAGCTGTCAACCTCTATTGTAATCTTATTTCAACCCTGTTAAGCAATTGCACACACATAATGCGTTTTTAACAGTTGAAGAAATAAAACTAACGTAACACAGATCTTACACCACGCACACCAGGGTTACACAGATCTATCAGCGAAGCATAATAGCACAAGTTCCACTGACTGGTGGTAGTGGTGGGCTGCCAGATAGTCGATATGCAAAACAGCAGCATCAACGTTATGTAGCTACCTCTTGGGGAAAACACGGCAAAACATACTCTAATTAATGCTCTAAGGAGAGATACGGCAGTACGTACAATATCTACCGAGATAGAACTGCGGAATATACAGTAAATCAATAACAGATTAATTAGCATGGAGAAATAATACATTATTTGATAGATCGTGCAGTCAATATAGGCTGGGCAGTTTTCTTACTAATCACAGAATATATATATATATATGTGTGTGTGTATATATGTGAGTATTAAAATAACAACTTGACAAAAATTCAAATTTCCATATTTCGCATAGCAGCATCAAAAGCTTGAAAAAAACATTCACCTAGATTATAAGTTGTGTTGAAATTTCAGCAATGGCATGAGTGGTTAGTGATTAAAGCCAACTTTGTTTTATCTTGCCTTTTTCTTGAACATTTTTGTCACTTTAGTTTAGAAAACAATTTTACAATATTTTTCGCCTTGCATATACCAAAGCAGATTTGATTTTTTCATTTTTGTTTTACCCAAGAACCGTTAGCAACATATTAAATTCCTCTAATCCTTAACAAAGACATATCAAATGTTAGCAGAATGATAGATAGGAACTTCGAAGTACTGATAGAGAAGAATAAGATATCTTCTGCCAAACGTAATTTCGTATTGCTAGCAGAGAATACATGATTGCAACGACAATATTGGGCAGTTTGATTGTGGAAGCAACTATAAATTGAACACCATAATGTGCATGCATAGTCACAAACTCTATTCTTCTTCCCCTTCATACAAAACATTTGAATCCATCCCATCATCTTTTGATCAATATGCTTCTTGATTAGTTTTCTTTTTTTTTCGAACAAGCAGTATTACGCATATGCTTTTCCAAAAGTAGCACAAAGTCGAAAAAATAGTCGCCCACACCAGTATACATCCTCCACCATCTGTCATAGCAAGACGTCAAGAGCATGGGTGAGCAAGAAACAGAGAGAGAGAGAGAGAGAGAGAGAGCGAGCGAGAGAGAGAGAGAGAGAGAGAGAGAGAGAGAGAGAGAGAGAGAGAGAGAGAGCGAGCGAGAGAGAGAGAGAGAGAGAGAGAGAGAGAGAGAGAGAGAGAGAGAGAGAGAGAGAGAGAGAGAGAGAGAGAAAGAGAGAGGCTACAGCACCACCAAATGGGCACGGTGGGTTTCAGTTTTACCTCCAACTACACTGGCCCAGGTTTAGCTGTTACTGCGCCACGCAGGCCAAGCCCGCACTGAGCTTATTCAAGTTTAGTTGTTACTGCACCGTCCCAGGTTCAGCTCTTAACGATGTGCTGATGTTGCTGCCGGCTTCACATCTACCGTTAAGAATCCATCCGCATCGGACAGCTCTTTCGAGGTGAAGCTCACGAGGATGGTCTTCATGCCGGCGTGCTTCGGCTGGCACGTGTATGACATCGACGCCGTGCCTTTCGCCTCGACGTTACTGCAAGCATAGCAGAGACGCGTGGCGTGAGTACACTAGCTCGTGATGCGACGCACACACGCGCTGCTGCATCAGAGTTCACCAGAAACCTCACAATTATTTCACAGGTAGCTATAGGATGTGAATAAATTATAGCTGATAACACGGCGCACAGACACGCACTGCTTGATCAGAGTTCACCAGAAACATGATACATCACAATTATTTCACAGGTAGGATGTGAATAAATCAGCTGATAACACGGCGCACACAGGCGCTGCTACAGTGGAATTAAATAATGCTAACAGTTGACTAATGGGCCAGTACCGCTAGAAGCTGCAATGACACATACACAACTCCCACATACTATAGGTGGTTCTATACTATAGAGTAGTTATACTATACTATAGTTATACTATAGAATACTATAGCTCGGTTCTGCGTTTGGAACAATCAAGTAACATACGTATTTCAACACAATGATGTAATATCTTGGTACGGCGTAATCGTTACGTTTATACAAACAGGAGGCCGTGATGGTATTTCTGCAATCTCTAATAAGTTTCACACAGCAGTGTCCTCGGAAATGTTGTTGAGAGCTGATGGCATATATAGGTTTATTATTCGTACAACTGTCGTATTTCGAGCCCAGGAGTATCATGTGCTTACCTGCATGCGATTTCGTGTGGTTTTTCTAAACCAGGAGCTTCGAGGATAAACATGCATTTGTGCAGAATCTTCGTCAGAGGATTGACAAATTTGACGTCGACCTTGCATGGCTTGCCTACTTGGCACTTGCCGTCAGACTGTAATAGAGGTAGGTCACTCATTAAAGCAAATCTGCCTCCAAACAAACTTTTTTAAACCACTTACTAAGTTCGAATACTGAAACAACCCGTTGTGGATATAGGATGTTGAGTTGCAACGTTCTTCTTCTTCTTAACATTTATTTAGGTGATATTATTACGGCCAGGAAGCTCACGTATTTCTCAGCAAGATTACTAACGACACACTATTTTCTTTTCAGAAGAAAAGCACTTGCTGTAAAGAGAATATACATTAGCACAAAAACTGACATCAATAGCAATGACCCACAATCAACCACACACGACCAGACCAAAGTACATCAGCCCCATGCAGAAGCACTTGATTAATACGCACTACTGATACCACTACTGATACCATTACTGATGTCAGGTGCTCACACATAATCTTATCAACACACACTCACACTGACAATGACATAAGACGCATTGCCATATAAATATCATCCGTACATCCACTGAAAATGATATCAGATAAGATAAGCATAATGAACGTAATGTGTTTATTACGTATTCCCGAGCATGTACAAGCATATATTTAACAATCATAAACTCACCTTGACAATGACATCAGGTGCACGAACACGGAAGTCGTCACTCAGGCATATCACCTGCTTTGTTTCTTTGACAGTACCAATGGCAGACACCTGGAACGCGGCCTGATCAACGAGCAAATCCAGGTATTCATCAGGTACACCAGTAATGGAACTCTTATTATCTGCGAAGGTGTAACAAAGGCAAATATGTGAGTTTGTTATTACAAGTTAATTATTAAGTTAATTGTGTTACTAATTAGCAGCAAAGCCCCATGAAGAAAGCTTATTCATTAAAATTCTCTGTAAGAGGAAATAAACCAGGAAAATTCTCACATTTTTACATCACAGGCTACTGCAGAAACACTAGAAAGTAGTTTGAAGGTGAGTATAGATAAACAGTTACTCAACCCCACATATTGGTGACATGGTTATACAACTGTGAACACATGTTACATGTTAATACATGTTACAGTGTACATGTTAACACTGTGGCAAACTGACAATACTTGTACGATATAATAAATTATTGATAGTTCCACAGTTCCCATATAAGAATCATATAGTCACTTCCAGTTGATAGCAAAATACGTCATATAATTGTACCACCATCATTATTTCAACAATGATTGTAAAAGTAGTATTTGCCTTGTTGTGCATTACTTTTACCTTTACTTTAGCACACTATAATTTTGCTATAATGGTAAACACAAGTCTATGGACTCTATCAAACCAAGCTATGAAACTATTGGATGCATAAATACAAAATAAATAAAAATATTTAACAATTAAATACCTTTTAGTGGCTCGAGGACAACTGTAAACTTCTCAGTCTTCACCTTCTCGGCCACCACTCCAGTGTAGTAAGTTGTTTCTAGGTGCATTGTTATCTCCACCGTACGCTTTTCCTTCGACGTGTTTTTCTGCCAAGTGCACACAGACCATTATATTCCTTTCTCTTAGTTATACAATGGAAGAACTCTAATAAACATTACTAAACACGACAACGTTGGTAACGCATGAAATCATTTGACAATTATATAACGTTGTGATATGCTCCAGTATCAAAACCACCCCCTTAAAATGCACCACAATATGTATTCACAACTAAGTACTGTACAGTCAACTGTGTTAGTGGTTACTTTTATAGAACAAACACCTGACTACGAAGGACTCTTTTGGCATTTCCCTTGAGTGAAACTTACATACAGGTTTGGGTGTACTAATGGTCACTATTGAACAACTCATTTAACAATGCTGGCTCTATTAAGGTACAAGTTTACATCTTCAATGGCTTTCCTGTGACTACAATCCTCAGTAATAACAATATGGGGCAAACAGAGCAACATGCAGGATTTCCTTAAGGGCGATCACATGCATGTGGAGCCGAGGGAGTTTGGGGGTACCTCCACCCCAACAGAGATTAGTAGAGAAATCTGGTTATGATCTGATGGGACCAATCTATGTATTTTCTATCTTGAAGTATTAATTTCCTCCTAATCTTTTTTTCCTACTTAAAAATCTTTGCCACATACTGAAAAATGTCATGGCTGTCACGCCCTTCCTAGACCTGTCCTTGACATCTAACTCACCATTTTCAGAAAGATGGAGAACGGCTGGCCAATGAGAACGTCGTCTTTGTCGTCAAGGGTGAATATGACGTCTTCCTTCAGCACGTCGTATGCAGTCGTGCTGGAGCTGTGTCCTCGCATGAGAGCATTGATCACAGCTGCTCTCTCTTCATCACTCCCTGTAATGCAACACAACACTCAGCTGAGATGTACACGGATAGATAGATCAACACATAGACAGCCAGAAAGAGAGATGGACAGACAGACAGGCAGACAGACAGACAAAGAGAAAGACAGACAGCAGACAGACAGACAGACAGATAGAGAGACAGACAGACAGACAGACAAACCGACAGATAGACAGACAGACAGACAGACAGACAGACAGACAGACAGACATATAGATAGGAAGATAGACTGACTGATAAATAGGGCATTAATAACCAGAGCCATCCTGGCTCACTCATCTCCTAACTCACTGTAAGATCCACGTACAGCTGATACGTACAAAGACAGGGCTTTAATCATAGCTGCTCTCTTCTTTACACACATCGTAACACACATCCAAAATGTACATAGATGCTCTACGGAAAGCCCATGCCATGTGCCTTATAGCAAGGTGATGCCAGCAGACATGGATCCAGATTAGATTTCCTGTGCCAGACGCAAGACAAAATAAGAAGGAGAATGCCTATTATGTTCATTAAGTTGCATGCTAAAATTTAGCGACCATCGTGGCATTATGAAACCCAAACCTGATCAAAGCAATATATGCATGACTGAGTTCTACATATAGTACAGCCACGTACTGTCAGTAGCTTTGTAGGAATCGGTAACATCAAGTCTGTCGGAATTTCCAATTCCCATCGGACCTGGACGCTTGGTGCTGATAGATTGTCCGACTCTGCAAAACACAGTCGTAGACTGAGGTGAGAGCTACATATACAGTAGCATCAAGCTCATTGAATGTTCACCTACAATGATAACTACATGGCGGGTCTCACAAGAATGTAGGCTATAATGAATGGTACTCTACCCAACATGTAGACACCTAGATTCTTCATAATTGCTGAGCAGAATACTGGCGACCTACCGTTGTTAAAATTTGCAGTAGAATTGGCAAGCTAAGAGTTTTCACAATTGCAGTAGAATTTGCAAGCTAAGAGAGTGTTCACAATTGCAGTAGAATTGGCAAGCTAAGTGTGTTCACAATTGCAGTAGAATTGACAAGCTAATAGTGTTCAGAGTTGCAGTAAACCTGACAAGCTTACATTGTTCAGAATTGCAGTAGAACTATCAAGCTAACATTGTTCAGAATTGCACTGGATCTGTCAAGCTAACATTTTCCAGGATTGTGGGGAACCCTCCTTAACTAAAGCGCCTCCGAACTATGCTGGCGCTCACCCGTTTGTGTCCATCTTCAGCTTGACCATGTCCTCGGTTTCAAGGTCGGGGCAGAGCCAGTGAATGATGTCGGCATTCACCTCAGCAAAGATGAAGGGTGCGTCATAAAGGATACCAACCTCACCCTTTCTAATGGCTGACACTGCAGCAGGACCGGCACAAAACACACCTGCCACGATAACCACCAGCCAATCAACACCACAGTGAATTTAATTAAACATCGGTTAATTACACATGTTTTACATGTGTTACATGTTTACACATGTGTTTACACATGTGTAAACACATGTTTAAACACATGTTTAAACACATGTTTAAACACATGTGTAAACACATGTTTACACATGTGTTTACACATTTGTTTTACATGTTTACACATGTGTTAAACATCATTAAACATCGAGGTTAATTATAATGATTTTTATGAAATTAAATTTTTAATCGTGCAATTGATTGATCACTTCCATATGAGTGATAGCCTGAATCTATTCCACACTATCTATTCTAGTGTGAATAGGTTTATGGTGATAGCATGAATACTTTTCGAAACAAATAAGCCATAAAGGAAAAAATCTCCAGGCACATGAAAGCATGATAAACTTCGAAAAGTTTGCAATATATATATTTTTGTTACTTGAAATTAGCACAATCATACGTTTTAGTGTTTAAATCCCATGGTAGTTCATTACTAATGTAAATCATGGATATAAATATTGATGAGAACGAGATAGCATAAAGACTGATCTTCATTCATTTGTTCAGTGATCCTACAAACATCTCCCACCTTCGCTTGTTTCCTGTGGGGTAGCGTCAATAGCTTGCCAGCCTCCATTGCCGGCTGGAAGGTCAGGGCGTGCCATCCAGGATTCATTCCAAACATGGAAGTTCCTAAAAAATGGTCACACAAACATGAATATAACTACTCATTGACAAAGGACCCAGAAGATAAGAAATGTAACTTTCAAATTGGAGCCAGTTGAAGTTCCAATATTTTTAGCACGGGATCATAGTTTTCTTCATACAATAAAACATTAAATACAAACATTAATTAGACTTTGCGTTAACAGCGCCCCTACACCATCTGAAAGCTTGCATACTGACTCACCAGATGGAGTCCATGTTCATGTCCTCCAGCTTGCTGTAATCCTGTGAGTAGTGGAAATCAACTGTGATGTTACAGTTGGTGTCATGTGCAGATGCAAAATTGGTAACGCTGCGACCAGGTATTCCCAAAGCTCTCAAGACTGTTACAGACAAACACACAATAGAAATAATTGTTTTTGGTCATGTAGAAATGATACCATCATATTTGTACCACACCTACTATGCATGATAGTCAGTCTCGGTCGTATCTACGTACAACCCTTATATGATCATGGTTAGCAAACTGCAACTAAAAGCGAGAATTTGCACTCAAAACATGTTCCCTTACCATTTGTCTACATTCTATATATCAGGAGTCTATCAATATGTCTATTGATAGACTCCTGATATATATATACTATAAAGGTTGTGAAAGAAAACTTGCTGAGAAGGCAATTTTGACAAAATGACACAATACTATTGCAGTTGCAAGTGGGATCTCTGTGTTACAAATGGTACTACACAACGCATATCTCCATTTTGTGCTCAAAAGAAGAAGTTCTACATGAATCTATACTAACAACGGGCTCTTTAAATTATGACATATCACGTACCGGTGGTGGTGACACCGGAGAACACCCAGCACTGCCCGAAGCAGACTGGCTCACCACTCTCAAACCACTTCGTTAGGATCTGGACAGAGCCTTGCCATTGGGTGGGTGGGGTACCTCCCTCATAGCTTCCCGACCAATTACCCTCCAACACACCATTATCGTCAGGAGCATTCACCTGTGGATTGAGTAAGGACGCATAGCTGCTGCTGAAGATACGTGTCACACAGTACAGACTGCTGTCAGAGATTTGTTAGAGGGTGAAAGAAGTTAGCAGATAAACATGGCAAAACATACACAGGTTAGGGTTTGAAGCAAATTGCTATGAGATAAATGCACAGATCATTACTTCTGCTAAAGTGAGATCGCCTATAACAAATTTCCTTTGCTCTCTATATTATTCATTGTATCAATATAAATTAAATAACTAAAACTAATTGAATAATTGAATATTTGTAATGATTTCGATTCATAGCACATCATCTATTTATAGACTGTAACAAACAACTGTTCATAACAAGGATGCATGTAATGGCCTAGAGTGAAGCCCAGACTTCAGCTGTCTACAAGATACATACCATGGCAGAGATGGTGCGAACAATCTTTACTGGGTTCCCTCTTGCTCCTGCATCCAGCTTGGAAGCATCCAGGACGCGAATAGCTGCATCCAGCACTGGATCCTCATACTGAAACACAATGCACAAATCCATATGAGAAACTCAGGAGTGTATAATCTGGGGAAAACAGAATTAATATATAATCTAGGGTGACTACTGCCAGAACTCAAGAAGATGGGAAGGTATATGCTAAAAGGACGATTACTTGCCGATACAAAATTGCTAATATGTAATGTTATTGATTAAAGAGAAAATTGACATACAGCAGTGTTGAAAGCTGGCATACAAAACTACATGACTGAATACATGGAAGGCTGGCCAGAGTTATGCTGGCACAACTGTAATGGTCGGTACTCCATAGTAGTCTATTATATGAATTCATAGGCGGCACTCCATGCACGTGATAATACAAGCGTGGAAGCTGCGTTGCTGTAAAACTATGGCAACTTAGTCTTAGAGAATTCGATCAGCAGTAGTACGTTTGGTTTGAGATTATATTCCCTTGCCCGGACGGGATGCATACGTTATCAGAACAAAGAAAGTGTAGAACTCATGTCAACTTCAGATTCACCATGTTTTAATTAAGATTGGTCTGCCTTTCATGCCAGCAGGCACAAAAGCGGTCTAATAAGATCTGCAAATACGGGATCGGCATCTTTGCTACACACCTGCCCAAAGTTCCAAGCTCGGTATCGTAGGCGCTTGGAAGTACCGCACCAGATCTTTCCCATGTCATTGAGCACGTATTCTTCTATCTCTTTCTTATCGTCCATGTAAGTCAAATCCTCTAAAATAACAGACGATAACAGTTGGTACTATTCAGCATTCCTACGCGACAGTTCACTGTAAACAGACTGCGACCTCACGTCAGATCCTAGACATGCCATGTGCGTCATGTCAGTGCTAGTTGTCAGTAAACATACCTTTCACCCACGGATTGAACAAAACATAGATGCCCTGGTCACATTTGAAGGTCTGCATCTTCTTCACATCATCCTAAAATGTGTGAAAGTAAGAGTATACTGCCAACCTTCTGCATGTGCTGCAATTAAATTCCTAAATAGATGTGTGAGGGAGGAGTCTAGCAAATGCGCTTGTTGTTCATAATCTAGATGTTACAAAACTATATTCTTTACAAATGATAGATTTTGGGACTACTCAAGCTAATTTTATACCTCACTCTATTGTGCACCTGTGCACAAGAATAAAACCACTCATTCTTTTCCACCAAGGGAAAAGAAATCAAGTGGAAAGTTTCTCCCACACCAAACTTCCATATAAAACGTTTCTTGAAAACACGCTCCTTGCTAGGAGATAAATCGGCGATAACATAGCATCTGGGCGACGAACCTTGAAGTTGGTGATGATGCTCATCTTCCAGATTCCGACGGGACAGTCGGCCGGTGTCATGACGTCCATGATCGTGTGAGTGCCGCTCATTGTGCGCAGCCTCACACCCCAGTCATTGTTGTCCAGTTCCTTACCCTGCACCGTTCTCAGCACCCTATACAAAGATGGCGAGAGAACTCACGAACCATCTAAACAATATGAAAAATAATAATGTAAAGAACAATATAAATCAACTAAATAATATGAAAAATAATATTGTGAATGAATAAGATATAATACGTTGACCCGGGACCTACACCCTGTGCCTGCCTAAAGAGTGGGTGCCTCATCCAGGACATCTTTCACAATGATGCGACATGCTGTGATGCATTATATCAAGAGCGTATAAAGAATGAGAGCGTACAACGGTGAAATGCTGAAACCATGTTGCAGTATTAGTCGAATTAATAAACTTTCCCCGTTTTATTTTGACGATTCCTTGCAGTATTATTGATCAGCTGTCCTACCTTGCTAATATAAAACAAACCGCTTGTCCCTACGATGCCCCCATGCTGAGATAATGAGCGGTGAAAATCTGGTATTTTCGCCGAAAACCGACTCCAGATCAGTCAGTACTGCGACTGTCTATCGTTCTGGCGATAGCTTCGGGAAACCTTGCGTGTTTTCGTCATTTATTGACAATGAAATTTATTTTACTTCTACTATCTTTTCTCGCATTTCCAGTCATTGACGCAGCCATTACTCCACAAAAACGTCTTGTTATTTATCGCCATGGTGATGACCCACCCCTTACGCTGGATGTAGTAATGCTGTAGTAATAACGTATCAAGTCAGCGCTACACAGCGGCGACCGGAAGCAACACACTGGCCACACTTCGAGAGTGGGTCACAGTACTGACTAATGTCTAGTCGGTGGTCGGCGAAAATACCAGATTTTCACCGCTCATTATCTCAGCGTAGAGGCATCGTAGGGACATGCGGTTTGTTTTATATGAACAAGGTAGGACAACTGATCAATAATACTGCAAAGAATCGTCAAAATAAAACGGGGAAAGTTTATTAATTCGACTAATACTGCAACATGGTTTCAGCATTTCACCGTTGTACGCTCTCCTTCTTTATACGCTCTTGATTATATTAAAAATTGCACAAACGCCCTCAATGCCTCTTAGAGACTAGAAAAGTAACCTAGTTCCCCGGGAGATGAATGGGTTTCGGCCAAACTCAAACTTGAAGCGGATTGTGTCGCGGTGGGGGATCAGCTGCCTCTTGAAGTGCACCTGCAATCAAGAAGAAGAGTATGAGTGAGAATCCTACAGGGCAGCAACAACAAACTACCAGCAACGGAAAGGGTTACACACCAACGTAACACCACGCACGATAAAAGACTATGGGAATGCATGGATGCAAAAGACATGAGAATTTATCTCGACAGAAGGTGTTTGGCATAATATACGCATGGGTGTAAAAGACAATAGTTTGTCCAGTTAGAGGGTACATGCCACTACAGTAGAAGTCCGAAAATCCGGACTGCTCGTCGATCCGGATTTTCGGATTTTCCGGATTCTCGAGCAGTACTTTTAAAATTCAAATTTTAGGAGGAATAAGGAAGAGATTAACAAGTAAATTTTGATAGTTTATTTATTAGCAAATACAGCATGCTTCATTTATCCAAACGAGCAGTTTTAAAGTCAACACTTGACAAAATGTAAACATAACAGTTTTTCATACAAAAGCCTGCTAAATTAAAAAAATTGAGTTTTCGAAAAATTCCGGGTTCTCGGGTGGTCCAGATTTCTGGCATCCGGATTTTTGGATTTCTGTACAAGCATGGCTGTAATATGCACCTGAATTTGCCTACATAGAAAAAGACACATGGCAATATACACGTTCATGCTGCAGAACGCAAAAAAAATCAACTGAACAGAAGAGGGTGCTTGATATTTTATACTAATCTTTTACATGCACCTGGAGTTGCGCACTCCCTGGACGTTATTCCTAGTATAAAAGTAGAAGTAGAAGTAGACTTACGGTAAGTTTAAAGACCTGGCCTCTGCGAATGACTGGCTTGCCGCTCTCGACGGCGTCGAACCTGTCCGTGTGATGGTCGGTGGCATTTATTGCAGCCTCCCAATCAATCTTCCCCACCTCCAGGATAGCACTCTGGTCCTGGCCACTTCCTACTGTGATGCATGAGTGGAGCGACAATAGGAAATAATATATGAGTTACACTATCTTGATAGGTTTTTATTAGAGCAGCGACAAAATTGCAATATTGCCCGTATATTAGTGATACATTATTTGGATAGCATGTAGTTACAAGCCAGTATTCGGAGGCAGGCAATGAAACTACACAGCATGAAGGTTGTTATTTTACTACCACCCAGTAAAACTCAAGTAAGCTGCGATATTGCACCTGCCAGGAACATACAAATCAAGCAAAATTCAATACCTAAGCATAGTAATAATCAATGAATCTACGAATAACTATAGAATTGCAACCATAACCTGCACAATATATTTAATAGAGATGTTTTACTGCATTAGCCCAGATATACCCCTAAGTCAACCGCAGACAAGATAAAGTCTAAATTGATAAAGCGCACAGTTCACAGTGATCATAAATTACAGCCATGCCATGAAATAGGATGTCACCCGGTAAGTAGCAAACACTGTACGGCAATAGAGGAAATCATTCTGATAATGATACACGCGTGCATATATAGACTTGATGTAGACATACTAAGCTTGCACTTGATGCAATATTGCAACTACATTCTCCACTACTATAAACGCAATTGTTCACCACACCAGAAATATTAACGACAGAAGCAAGCAAATCAAACTAATAGCACACAATAACATGTTCCTATCACAGTAGCATTGCTAAGATGCTTTGCAAATGCATATCACCATTTATAATTAAAGTAACAATATATCCTCAACAAGGCTGTACACAGGAAATTTCCAGTGGGGGGGGGGCAGTAGATGAGAGAAGACTTAGACCAGAGCGAGCTACCCCTGGAAACATTGTTATGACCCCGCTGGGGGTTGCAAATTTAAATTTCTGGGGGGGGGAGTGGAATCACATCATGGAAATGACAACAGAAGTTTAGAGAAGTGTCATATTAACTAAGTTGAAACCAAAAATGACACAGAAATCATGTTATATGAACGGATAAATTTCAACGGCATAGTTTCGTTAGTTAATATTGAGGATGCGTAGGCCTACTTTAGATTAGACGTGTGTAAGTACATTTATATGCAGAGAGAAATCATGCAGGCGCTAACAGGCAGGATGCAGCCTTACTTGTTGGCCGAGGCCTGCCCATAGGTACACCACAGCATGTGAACACACCTTACGATGAAAGAAAAATACATTTAGCAAGACAACTATCAACTGTGAACCACCACCACCACGCACAGCTAAGTTGTTAAACCCAGAAAACAACATATGTATGTTAACACTATAATAAAGAAACTTTCCCTCACAACCTCTGCCCGAATACAAAGTCCGTACATTTCTAGGATAACCTTAAATAATTGATAATAGTAATTTGTAAAAAAAATATTAGTATGTATAGTGTTCAGTTTATACATGAAATGCAAACAATTGCTAACAATTGTGCAAGTCTGAGTATGTTGGTTTGCAAGTTTGTCTTGGAAAAGTCTGTAAGATAATTCCTTACCCCAATGGTTATAAGAGAGTGAAAGAGAAAGAAGTACACATACCTGCCACCAGAACACACTACCTACCTGTCTCAGATCAACAGACCTGACCACGATTGGATGTAAAGATAGAAAGACATGAGGGTGTATGTGAGAAGGACAGCTACCACCAGGTGGCACTACCAGTACCTCGGCCATGTGTGGGTGATCCCACACCAGAATCCGGACTTCCGAGCGACATAAATGTCTCTGACGGATCACGACTCCACGACGACATCCCTGGAATTATAGATCCCAGTCCCCCGTACTTATTGACGTTGAATGCTGTGACTGGATAAACAAATGGATAGGATATAGGTGATACTCACATCCCGTGCCATGCAACGTTCTCTCCTGTCAAACAGCAAAAAGGGCGATGAACCATCAGCCTGAATATAGTATAGTGCTGAGAAAACATAGAACAAGTACGATCTCCATGAGGCCAGACAGCAAAGTAAAACCAAACAATTTAACATGGAAAAACATGAACAGAAACAGATTTTTTAATCACATTTAATGTTTCTGGTTGTTTGCTTTGTTACTGTGATTTTATATTTTTTTACTTCTAACACTTTTTGATGATTGTATCAACTTATTTGAACGTTCTTTCATAATTGTTTGTTATTAAAATTAGATTAAAGTAAGAGAGTAATAGCCAAAAGCCATGATCACCAATGCCCCCAGGTGGCACTGCACCCAAGTGCAAGAGAGAACAGTTGTATAACACAAGGTGGTGGGCCTTCACCGGAAAGTTAGGAATAGGTTATAAAATGCGAAACTGGATTGAAAATGTAAACCTTGTGCCAAGAAGAAGGGATGAAGTGGTTAGGAGCCAGTCACCAGCGATCTACCTGTACCAGAAGATAGCTTCTCTGCCTTACAGTTACATACATTATATCTAGAGTAAGATAAGAACAGGAGTATTAAGTAAATAACAGCAATCCTGTTATTCACTGTTAATAAGGAAATACCCCTTTGGGGGGTAATATTTCTTATTATCTTACTCCCGTATATATGGAGCCGAAAAATTACACAAACACATAGATGCTGTGTAAATAATGATTAAGCAGTCAGAGCAGTTCTCCTGGGATAGGCAAGATATACAAAAATATGTTAAACTAAGGAAATTGCTTGCTATGGTTAAAAACGTTAATTCAGAATGCCCCGTCATCGATGACGACACCAATCTTGCCAGAAATACAAATTTAAATAGTAGAAATTCATCTGATACTCAAAAGAATATAATATATATATTCATTAAAAATGGATAACTATGCATGCTTACAAAAAAATTTCATCCTGTAGAAAAGATAACACAATTTTGCAAGTTTAGTTATAACAATAATTTACACACGTTTCAGTCATTACCAAAAATACGACATATGAAGCTGCTTACTTCAGATCTTCTGTGCGAACGCACTAGCTTTTTCATTGCGTTTTTATTCAATTGACTGAAACGCCTACATCAAAAAATACTTTCTAAAATTACACGCCTGTGTCTACATGTGAGAACATGTTTAGTACGCTTAGCATGTGGGCTGTACTGTGCTGTAGTCTAAATATCCAGATGTGGTTCCCCATGGAGATAGACTTTATCGTTTTTGCAAGCATAGAAAGACAGCTAGCACGTATATGCAGCTTGGTTAACAGTTTCCAAAGTTGGTTGCACATAGGAAGAAAACAAAGCTCTATGCGTCAAAATTTAAAACTGTTCAGAGACCAAATGGCAAAAGCAGAACGCATCATGAGAAAATGGGACTTTATGGGCCGGTAAGAGCCGGTGGAAATTTCAGATGATCTCCAAAGAATAAATATACAGTCAAATTTTATTTCAGCCTAACGAGTAAAGCATTCAATGTAGTATGTAGTCAATCTTTAACTCAAGTCAATTAATCACTAATAAGCCATAATTAATATTAGTTAGCACTTAGTTAAATTAACACCCCGGTTATTTCTATTGCACCTATTCATAGTGAAAGTTAGTTGAGTATATAGGCAGTGCTGTACACTAGACGTGAACAACAGTATTATAATAAGCCCATTATTATTCAGCGACCACACACACACGTGTGTAGTGAGTGACTCACATGCGGTGGTGGATGCCAGGGTGGTTCCCTGGCTGGCCCTTCCCGGCTGCACCCTCCCACTGGTGCTGCTGCTTCCTCTCACCTGGTACCTGCTTCTGCTGAACATGCTGCCGGCTTCACTTATTAACCTAATGATAAAATTAAAATTAAAATAATTAACAAAACAACACTTTGTAACTCACACGAATTGCATGCTTTATACGATATCTGTCAGTCAATTGCTGGTTATTCGTTTTGTGTGAGAGGCAACTGTAAAGATCTGCTAATCACTTTTAAACAACAATAAGAAGTAGTGATTAAAAATAATACAGGTATGGTGTACGATGACAGAAACCATATAGTCACTACGAAACAAGAGAGGGAACGATGAAATATGGTGCTAAACACACCAACATGGTATAACCATAATTATAGTTCTATAATTTAAGCAGATTTTTATCCCAAGGTGTATTGTGCATTTGATTGATGATTATTTAAAGTTAAAGCTAGTTAATGTGTTTTATTTTGGTTAATTTGAGCAATTCCAGTAACATAATTTCTCTAGTGTTCTATATAATACACTCGTAGTACTGAAATTCCACAATTACAGGATAAATGTTATTGGGGGGCTGAGTAATCATAAAAAAATCACTGCCTAGCACTATATACAATGGAATTTACTTTAGGTCGTATCTGCGCACACAAGGACACGACTCATGGGATAAGTAGGGTTCAAGTCTATCTCTAGAGCAACACAACCCTTGAAGTACCCTCCAATTTTATTTGTCATTCCTTATAAGATGATTATACAGCCATCATTAGGCAATTTTAACCAAATCATCAGACGAATAATTTGTGCAAGTACGGCGTGGTCTTTTTCATTGCCCGAAACCGGTTTACAGCAAGCCTAAACATAAATTTGGTTTACCAGGCTGAACTATGTATGGCCCGGGCGGCGATTTTTTTCCCTACACGTTATATCCATTGGGCTTGATATACGCATATCAACTTCCGCATCAGACTTTCCGTATATCAAGGAATGATGCAAAAATCCTACCCCTAACCCTAACCGCAACCCGAACCCTAACACTAACTATAAACCGAATCGGCTTATATACTATCTATGGTATCCCAAACACTATCTATGGTGTGGTCAAATCAAAGCACCCAATGAGAAGAGCCCAATGGATATAACGTGTAGGGAAAAAAAATTCGCCCGGGGGGCGGTTTCCCACCCTCCCCAACAGCAGCCCTCCAGCCTACGCATCTATTATAGAACAGACATATACAATCAGAAACACCAATGCAATTTCAGATGCAATTTTTCCCACAGCGAAACTTATATCGTGTAATAGTAATAGGATTACGCTGTCGTTCAGTAGCAGCTGACATGGAGCGCACCCTCCCCCTCGCGACGCCAGGGGCTACGCGGCAGCACCCTGCCGTAGATGCAATGCTGTCCGGATGAGGGAGGGGTCTAATAATCCGACACACGGTGGGTGCACGGGGGCACTCAATCTAAAACGAGGGTCTCAATAAACCCTTGGATACCAACGACAGCATGAATGGGTTATGATATTTGCCTTTTTGCACTTTCCTTATATAAATACTTCTTGCACGTAAAATAGTTTCAATAAAAATATAAGCTATGATTGAGATTCAATTAGCAGAACGTTTAGCAGTTGACAAGGAAACAAAAATGGTTTAACATTACAAACTAGTTGCACCGAATAAAAATGGAGAAATCAAACCGATATTCAGGAACTAAAAAACCTCACATGTACGGGACATAACCACGTAGGTAATGAAGCCACACTGACATCCAAAACTCGCACGCTGTAATGAAAGCCAGAAAGTTGCCACAGCAGCTGCGAAAGCAAATAAACAGCCTATACACATTCCCCTCGTGGCATTGATCTGTCACCAGCGCAAGCCCCCTCTTCCTCCACTGGTACGCCTTCAAAAATAGTACCAGTACTGGTCAAAAACCATTTTTTGCGTCTTCAAAGCGGTGAGTATGATCTTAAGCAGATATGACTGAGTTAGAGAGAAGGTTCAGCTTATCTGTGCATCATTTACCCGCACCAGCTAGGCTGGATATCCATGGCTGCTCGTACACACACACACACACACATGCTGTATGTGCGTGTGCGCGCGTGCACGCATGTGGGCGTGCGTGCGTGTGTGTGCGTGCGTGTGTGCGTGTGTGTGTGTGTGTGTGTGTGTGTGTGTGTGTGTGTATGTGTGTGTGTGTGTGTGTGTGTGTGTGTGTGTGTGTGTGTGTGTGTGTGTGTGTGTGAGCGTGGGTGC